GTTGAGCAGAGGGTATTACGCTATTAGCAAGTCTAAGCCGTCACATGACTGACATCCTTGCAACTTTTTTTATGCAAAATTCTGATTGGACCAATTTTTTTGTACGGAGTTTGGGTATCTTTTTTTTTTTTTTTAAACAGATTTTATAAGTGGTTAGGTTTGAAACCCAGCCTTAAGGAGGAGGGAGTGCACCGTGGGTGGCTATTGTCACTTAACCTAAAGGGCTCGGTGTCGGAGTTTGAGTATCGTCCAATGTATATTAAACAAATTTTCATAAATTTTCAACAAGGAAATTATTTTATATGAATTTTAAAAAGATATTTCTTGTAAAATCTGTAACGGTTGGAGTATGCATCGAAAAACCAAGTTTGAAATATATTAAGTTCAAGTGGATTTGTAGAATCAATAACTTATTAGTTTAAGTAAAAAAGTTTAATTTTTTTAAATAATTTTTTAAGTTTGAATTATATGAACTTTTTTAATATAAATTTAATATAATTTAATTTTAAATTAATCAAAATTTAATATAATTTCTAAAATTTTTTTTGAAAAGCAAAGATTTTTTTTATTTTATTTTATTTTAATGAGTACAAAGGATACTTAACCCCTTATATATTAATCAGCACCGATTGAAATGAAAGTACAGCATTAGAAGGTTCATTACAAAATCTTGCAGATCTGAAGTTGAGAATCCAATAAGAGAAACAGAATCGTCCTTCCTTTCCTTTGTTTTTGGATATTTAACATTACTATCAAAAAGAAAAAAAAGATTTGATGATCAAATCATAAAAGTACAAAACATTCGCTCTTGTAATAGAGGGTATGAAATAGTAACATGAAGACTGATTGGATAAATCATAGATTGATTCTAAATAAATAAATAAATAAGAAATCATAGATTGATTGTATTTGCTAAAAAAGTGATTCATGAAATTGATTATAATTTTATTAATAGATTGATTTTATAATTTATTATTTTCATCAATTATATAATCCCTGGCCTTTTTTAAAAAAAAAATTTTGATTGTACAGTAAAAAGTAATTATCTTCTATCTTTTATCTTATCCCATTCGTATGTCATGTGATTCAAATTCAAAATCATTTATTTTTAATAAAAAAAAATAATAACTGAATTATTTAATTCGTTAGAATTCTCTGACCTTTATAAATGGTAATGGATTCTCAAAATGTATACTAAGTTATCAAGAGAAAATAATTATAGACTTTTTGTGTTGTAATCCAAGGCCATTAACATGATTGATAGACCTAAATTATAAATATCTCATTATCATCTTCTTTGGATTTTTTTTTTTTTTTCGCTGAAAAATATCATCTTCCTTTTCTTAAGGTTTAATCAATCATAAAATGCCGCACTTGGGACTTTGGACCCAGTGTCGTCAGGCCACGTATAAGTACATTCTCTCACTCTCAAGCAATAATTTGAATCAAGCTCTTTACAAATTTATTCAAAAAAAAAAATCAATCATAAAATGCCGCATCAAAGTTAAACCATAAGAAAACATTTATTTCTGTATCATTTACCTAAATTATACGTTCACTTTCTTAATACAACATCATGAACTAGATAATTCCATTGAATTGTAGGGGAAAAAATAAAGAGAATGAAATTTGCTTCTTTTTTTTTATTTTATTTTGAATTGTACAATATTTGCTTCTTTTTTTTTATTTTATTTTGAATTGTACAATAAAAGCTAAGTTGTTTTCTTTCCTAACTCACCACATTTTTTACTTTCACCATAAAAGAAATTATCATTAAATTACTTAAGTTATTGACGAAAAATAAAAATTCTTAAATCATGACTCTAATTAATTAGAAAGGTAAAATGTCTCTATTATATGCCCAACTGTGCTATATACCATGCTTTATTCATCACGAAAGTTAAATCAACTACAAGAAGAAATGTTGTTAGCATCCAAAAACAGCTCCATATCTTATCTTCATGTTACATTGTCATCTATAAAATAAACAAATGTTGGACTATGGTTCTGTGTGTCATTTTCTTAAGAACAGATTGAGAAAATGAACAGTTTTTTATAGGAAGAAAACAGGCATTTGATATGGATGACTTCTCTCTAGGGGAAGCTTAAATTTCATTTTCCTGAGATGTGGAGTTTGTACAGCTGCATTAGTTCTCTTCTTTTGCCCAGGAAGAAATGGTGGGTAAGTTGAAGAAGGCACTCAAAAACTAGCTGCATTGTTACACCATGTACAGAACATTAGCTTGGCATTATCATTAATAATGTTGGGGAAAAAGATTAAAATTTTTCTTCTCTTATTTGACACACTTGATTTTCTTCAAGAACATAGCAAATGGTGATCTCATGATTCAAGATTGGCGATTCATCCGCAGACAATTCTTCAACAAGGTAGCCCAAATTTGCGACCCATGATTAAGTTGCAAGGTGGGCTCCTTCTCCTTCCTCTCACCACGTTTCCCATCTAGTTTATGGGCTTAGTAATTGTGGTCCATGAACAGTCTCAACAATGATGGCTTGTGAGTACTGAGTACGAGCAAGAAAAAGGGGACACAAAATGCTAGCAAAGGGGTAATTATTGTCGCCATCAAATATGCTAAGGTAACTAGTATTTTAAATTTTTCTTTAAATAATATTTCAAAATATTAATTTATTAATTAATTTTAATTCATTAACAAAAAAAATATAAATTATTTTATTAGTTATTAATTAATAATTATAATTACTAATCTTTTTTATCAATCAAATTAAATAGAATCAATATTTTTAAAGATAATATTTTATAATTTTGATGATTCTAACATTCTTGTTGGTAGTCACAACCATTCCTAGTTATGGCCACCTATAGAATTGAGAAGTTGAT